CGCCAATAAATAGTATTACACAATAAAATTCGAAATATGAGGGAATTTTGTATTTAATTGTATAATGCACTATATATATATATATATATATATATATATATATATATATATATATATATATATATATATATATATATATATATATATATATATATATATATATATATGATATCAATGAATAAGTATAGTGATTTAAAAAGGAAATTAGACATTCATTTAGAAGGTAATCTATCGTTACTGGATGTTTTTAGTTGAACGTAGGGATGATTATTCATCAGCAGTACTAACCGTAAAACTGCGTTCACTTGTTCATATATATATATATATATATATATATATATATATATATATATATATACATTCCCAAGAGCATATAATCCACGTAGAACTCAATGTCAAGGACAGATTACGAATATAATATAAAAAGCTCAAACACTAATATTCCATAATTATAATTTATTACTTTGGAATCGTAATCACGATTCAAATCATCAGACCTACAAATTCAAAATAATATATATATATATATATATATATATATATATATATATAATGGACTCTTCCGTCGGTTTCGACATATGAGAATCTGACAGATTAAATGATTCAGTTATGAAATTTTGTGTGATATTCTTAAGTGGCACTTAGGACTCGCTAGTGATTTACAAAGTATACCACATATGGAGCAAGATTGAGGATTGTAAAATAAGAGCAATGTTAGATTGGCTGATCTTTTAGATCTTGCTCTCGCTTCTTGAAATTGATTCAAACAAAACTGCTAAGTCCACTAAAATACGTAGATCTCCATTCTACTCGCCCCAAGGCTAAGCGCTCAAGCTTGTTATGATACACACACACACACACACATACATACATACATACATATATATATATATATATATATATATATATATATATATATATATATATATATATGTATGTATGTATTCTTGAGTTATCGAATTCTGATTAGAGTTATAGGCAGCGCGAGATTTGTCTCTTTTATTTGTGAAGCATCAAGAGACGTTTCCTCTCGCTCCGATAGACTCGAGGCATATAAGTATTTCTGAGACACACTTACAGAAGTTTGCTTTGAATTTTTCCAATTTTAATTCCGTTTGTTATTTTACCATCGTGTAACATGTCTGGTTAATACATTTATTAATTGTTGGTTCTTTGAATTCTTTGTTATAGACTTGTTTTTATCCGGACTAATATGTGTCTGCCAAATGTATCTGGTACCAGGAGGCGTAAAATGAATAACATCCGTTCCAGTATATATATCTATCTATCTATCTATATATATATATATATATATATATATATATATATATGTGTGTGTGTGTGTGTGTGTGTGTGTGTAGTGTAGAGGATATAGACGAAACTATAACTGACTGGAAAGAAGAAAACATTAGTTGTTTTTTTTAAATTGCATAATCTGGAATTAGGTTGTGTTACGTGAACCATAAAATGATCCTTTGATACTGTGCGAATTACATATTTTCCTCACGTATTTATGGATAGATATTTTTAATATAAAAATGAGTTTCATTCTGTTTTGTTTTGTTTATGTATTTGCTTTTGGGAGGGGAGTTGAAGGTGGAGACGAACAACTTATTTTGAAGCTGAGAGAGAGGATTTTCCGGGCAATGATATATTCATTACATCTCAAAACGCGAGAGAAATAATCTGGTCTCTTCTGAAGCTAAACGGAAATTAAAAACGTTCATGATAGTGAGAAAACGACTTTGGTATCGGAAGAGGAATCATTTAGGAATATACAACAAATACATGTACACACACACACACACACACACACACACACACATATATATATATATATATATTTATCAGTGAGTGTATGATTTTACTTGGTGGGTTAGATAGATGCATCTTTCCGAATGGTGTTAGCAGTCGATGTTCAAACGTAGAATTAACGTTGTGTTAAATGCTGTTTTTCAAGGCATGTTTGACACAATTTTGCACAGTCAATATCTCTAGAATTGCAAATTCCTTTTAATACTGTGTTAACGAAAATAAAAATTATATTATATATATATATATATATATATATATATATATATATATATATATATATATATATATATATATATATATATATATATATATATATATATATATATATATATATATAAAGAAAGATAGATATCAAATGCTGATTTTCAAAATAAGTATTACACATTTTTATACACCCAATCTCAATAAAATTGCCAATTCCATTTAATACTCTGATAACGTAAACTACATTTAATGATATATATATATATATATATATATATATATATATATATATATATATATATATATATATATATATAAGTTATAATTCATCTATAAACGATGTTATGCTAATTTTCAAGGCATATATTGCACAATTTTGCACTAATACACACACACACACACACACATATATATATATATGTACGTATATATATATATATATATATATATATATATATATATATATAATATGTATGTATATTTACATAGATATATAGCTAGAGAGATAGAGAGCGAGAGAGATGAGCCCATTAAGATAGATAGATAGATAGATAGATAGATAGATAGATAGATAGATAGATAGATAGATTGACAGACCACGAAAACTCTGATAGATAGATATATCATGAAAATCCTCAGATAGATAGATAGATAGATAGATAGATAGATAGATAGATAGAGAGAGAGAGAGAGAGAGAGAGAGATAGACAGATTGATTTAACCCTATTAAGATAGATGTGCGTGTTTTACCTTAATATTTGTATATTGTATTGGATATAACTAATTTTAGCAGAGCCTATCCTATGTTCAATTTCATTATCTCCTATACTAAATTTCTTATAATTCTTCTGTAAACGTATTCATTTGAAATTTTGTTTGGCTTGTTTTGTTTTCCGGCATATCAACCAATTGGGTCAGTTAATACTGGAATTTAATTTTGAGGGAGCATAATGATTGATATTTTAAAATATATTGATGCTAATTTTTTTATTTTACAAAAAATGTATTACTTCTTTATTTTATAAAAGCTATTTCTCATAATTTTATTTCTACAAAAAATGTATTGCTGGGAAATTGTTTTGCCTTTAGCAAAATGTATTGCTACTAATTTCTTTTACAAATATGTATAGTTGCTAATTTTTGTTAAAAATATGTAATATTTAGTTAAAAAAACTCTATTGCTGGTAATTTGTTTCTTTTACAAAAAATGTATAGCTGGTAATATTTTTTGTTACAAAAATGTATTGCTGGTAATTTTCTTCTGTTTTACAAAAATGTATTGCTGGTAACTGTTTATTTTTTCAAAAACATATGTTGTTGGTAATTTGTTTTTCTGTTAAAATGTATTGCTCGTAATGTTTTTATTTTGCTAAAAAAATTATAGCTGTTAATTTTTTGTTACAAAATATATATATTATTGGTATTTTTTTACAAAATATTTATTGCTGATATTTTTAACAAATACGTATTTCTGTCAATGGTATTGTTAAAAAATTATTTTTGGTTTTCTTTTTCTTTTAGAAAAATGTATTGCTGGTAACTTATTTCTTTTACAAATATGTATTGCTGTTAATTGTTTTGTTACGCAATTTATTACTGGTATTTCTTTTTCTTTTACAAAAATGAAATGCTAGTAACTTATTTTTTGTTGCAAGAATATATAGCTGGTAATTTTCTAAGTTTTTACAAAAATGTATTGCTTGCAATTTTTTTTAAAAAAACATCGATTACTGGTAGTATTTTTTCCTTACAAAAATTATTTGAAGTATTTAGTATTTACAGATACCACAGATTAAATTTCTGTGATGGATTCAGGGTAGGTGCCATGATTGCTTTCATTCGAAATTCAAATCATAGTTTCTCTTTTGGAAATGTTTATTTTGAGTCCCCTTTCTTCGAACGCTTGGTAACCGATGTTGGTATTTCTTCAAGATTATTCTTATCCTAAATACGAATACATAATCATCAGCCCCTCATCGCAACATGAAGATGTATTTGAATTGTTATGCAAAATTGATTTATGTGGGTAAAGATTAGATTAATCTGGATATTTATTGCAAACAATGAATTGGCATACAACTACAATTCTAGGGCCAATTTTAGGGTTAAGAATTATCTTCCCCGCATATCAGTGTAAATTCTGCCTCTTAATCTGTAACCTTCTACCAAGATTGGTTCTTTGGCCTTGTACAGGGTGAACATCGCCGTAAAATGTGTTAGCCAATGGAAATATGCCACAAGTCCAATGGCGATTGTTACCATAATATTTAACCGTTTTCTGTTAAGGAAACATTAGACATTCATTGACCAAGCCGCTATTAAAACTGTCGATTGAAATTTATAAAATCTTTCTCTTAAAAATAATCAGGAAAATAGTTTATTTTCACGTTCGTAGCTGTTATCGCTTTTTCAAATATTGGTGGGGTTTCCTTTCTAAATTTTTCAAGATCTTGATTATGTCATTATGTACTCTTCAAGTTACATATGATGTCCATTTTTTTGTTGCCACAAGTGAATGTTCTAAAGTAATATAGTTTCTCTCATCGAACACAGTTCTTTTTTTCTGTAGAATAGAAAAAAATATGTGTCCTCAAAACTAAAAAAATATTTGTTTAGACTTTGGAATATTTTAGAACCTTTCTTTAGAAACAAAGAAAATAGTGCAGACCATATTTGTAGCATCAGTCCACTTCTATGGCAGTGAATACGGGACATTTTTCTCACAAATGAAGAGAAGACTTGAGGAAATAGATATGCTTCTTCAGAATGTTAAAGGTAATGATAGCATAATCCGTTATTCCACAAGCAATCACTTAAAGGCGAATATAAATAGAAAGATATGCCTTCAAAATATATAGAAAATATCAAGAAAAAGTTTCGTTTAAATCTAAGAGACAATTACTGGATGTTATGTTATATTAATCCTTGTCTATGACGAAAAATGCTGGATAATTTCCACACAGCTGAAAATGAAAACGAAGCGAGAGATATCTCTATACAGAAGAATGCTGAGGCAACTATGAACGGAGCAAGTGATCAACGAGAAATTTTTATAGTAATTTGGGCGAAGAAAAGAATTTCAATTAGAATCAAATTCATAGAATTTCTGGCGCAAATAATGAGAAAAGATGACTTGAAGACTTTAATGTTCACAGAAGATGCTGCAAGCAGAGGTAAATATAAAACAGCTGAAATAATGAGATTGTGTAAATCGATGGTAGACTATGGACTGATCGCCAACGTCTTGAGAAGACAAGGTTTATAGACGGTAGAAGATTCCTTACTTGAGGTGCGAAACAATCCTATACCCCAGCAAGGCTTCGATACTACAGGGCATTCCTAAAGCCTGGACATATAGGTAAAATTGAATATTTTAAGAAATGAAATTTTGAACATTTTTATTGAATTGGAATATTAATGGATAATATCGTCACTAGGATTTCCATAAATTTTAATGAAAATCTTGATATCTTTTACAAGATTCGCGTGAAATCGATGCAATAGCACCACATGGCAGGACATTTTAACAGGTTCACATTTTATGCGTTCAATCAAGTGTGTTGCACCCGTGATTCTCATTGAGTACACCTTCTCCTTTAGCATAATCCAGAAAAAAAAACAATTATTTCCTTTTTCAACAAAACATGTTTAAACTTTGGAGGAGAAAAAAAATAATGAGATTTCCTATGTTTCCAGACATTAGGGGCACACTTTACAAATGGCTTATAGCACCAGACGATATATTATACCACGCCCTGATATCTGTTGATGCAAAACAGTAACACTTGTTATATGGCAGCAGAAACGTTGCCTTCATTTTTGTAAGTATTGAAATAATAAAGTCCTTAATTACATGGTGATACCCTTTCCTTCTCTTCTGTATTTTTCTCGGGGTTGTAAACAGGGAACTATAGAATGAGATCTACCAAGGCATTTGAAACCTACCATGAATTGAAATGCCCTATTATAGTTGGAAAATGATCAAGATAAACGATGATCTGTTTATTGTTTTCATGTATGGCATCAAACCAGTTTACAAACAGAAAAAAAAAATTCTTGATAATTTTTTGTTTAAAAATATTGTTCATAACTACGTCACTGTTCACTTCATTTAGACCTAACCCTGACACCGAAACGTAACGTGTAACCCTAAACATAACCCTAATTCCTAAGCCCAAACATAACCTTAAAGCCTAACACTAACCCTAATCCAAACCTTAAGTCCCATCCTTAAACCTAAACCTAACTCCTAACACTAACCCCCTAACCCTAACACCTAACACTAACCCCCTAACCCTAACACCTAACACTAATCCTAACACTAACCCTAACCATAACACCTAACACTAACTATAACCCCTAACCCTAACCCTAACTTCTCACCCTCACCCTAACCATAACCCCAATAAATAATCCCTAACACTAACTCATAACCCCCTAACCCTAAACCCTAATCCTAACCATCTAACCCTCTAACCCCTAACCATAACCCCTAACCCTAACTAATAACCCTAACTTATCAACCCTAACCCTAACCCCTAACCCTAACCCTAACCATAACCCCCTAACTAACCTAACCTTTAACCCCTAACCCTAACCCTAACCTCTAATAAATAACCCCTAACCCTAACCTTAACTAATCTCTCACCCTAACCCTAACAATAACCCCTAACCCTAACCTAACTCCTCACCCTAACCATACCAATAACCCCTAACCCTAACCCTAACTCCTCACCCTCACCCTAACAATAACCCCTAACCCAAACTCCTCACCCTCACCCTAACCATAATCCCTAACCCTAACCCTAACTCCTCACCCTAACCCTAACTCCTTACCCTCACCCTAACCCCCAACCCTAACCCTAACTTCTCACCCTAACCCTAATCATAACCCCTAACCCATTACCCTAAATTTAACTCCTAAACCTAACCCCTAATCCTAACCCTAACCCTAACCGTAGCTATAAATCCTAGCCATAAACCTAACCCTAAACCTAACTTCTAACCCTAACCCTAAATCCTAACCCTAACTCTAACCATAACCCCTAACGTTAACCCTAACTCTAACTCCTAACCCTAACCTCTACCCCTACCCCTAACCCATAACCCTAACTCCTAGCCATGAGAGTTACACTAACATATTTCATACTTCCAACAGTCGGTGAATGTCATACCATAGTAGTAAGAAATAGTAGATATCATACTATTGTAGAAAATGGACAGTAGATATCATATTATAATAGCACCCCGACCAGGAAGCACGTTGGAGTAAAGGATAGCGGCTCGGATTGAGCAATCATTCGAATCTATTACATTAACTTACGTGCTAATACACTTGAGAAAGGTATGAATCTTCTTCTACCCTCAGCTATGGGTAAGTATCAGGACAGACCGGGTTCTATAGCCTTTGATGGCAACTAGTCTACCGCATAAAGAAATGGCGACCTACTGCGGGAAAAAATCTGCCTCGTTAGTCATGTATCGAAAAGATACATGACTGCCTAAGCATGTATCCCGTATGGCACATAACTGAACTGATAGTAGCACTCAGTGAACTACAGTTGTCTGTTTGTGTAGAAAAAAAACTGGGAAAATTGCAAAACAGACACCTGTAACATTTGAATTGGCGTCTTACCAAACTTTATTTAGTTAGTTAAAAATTCATAAAGCCGGACGAGAAATAAATTAACGTTACACAGGCAACCCAATGAGGAACAGGCTACCTGGCTTGAAAAGTCATCCTTAAGAAGATTTGTTTTTTAATTTTTTATCCCGTATACGTACACATGCTGCTATCTGTTCTTATTTGCTTTTTTTTTTTACAGTAAGGTTCACCATGTATAAGGCCCGGGGATCACTCGAGGTAGAAGGTTATGATAATGGTTAATTTATATGGATAGGAGGGGGAAGATAATGGTTAACACTAGCCTTGAACAGGTTTAGATTTATTGATCAAAGAAACAAATAGACGGATATAGATAGATAGATAGATAGATAGATAGATAGATAGATAGATAGATAGATAGATAGATAGATAGAAACAAAGAGAAATAAACTAACAAACAAACAGACGGAGATAGATAGATAGATAGATAGATAGATAGATAGATAGATAGATAGAAAAAATGAAAGAAAGAAACAAACAGATGGAGATAGATAGATAGATAGATAGATAGATAGATAGATAGATAGATAGAAAAAAATAGAAAGAAAAAAACAAAAGATGGAAACAAATAGATGGATAGATAGATAGATAGATAGATAGATAGATAGATAGATAGATAGATAGATAGATAGTCTGTCCCATAGGGCAATGTTTCGTGGGAAGAAGAACTTAATTCTCGCCAATGGAATACGGAGGGAATATGGGGTGTTTGCTGCTATGTAAGTGGCATGGCGGGTCCTAGCTGCGAACATGGAACCAGTAGATTCAGTTCGCCCGAGCACTATTATCGATAGATCAGTGAGAGACTCGCCACATCCTGCTTGTAAGAGAGATGTTGCTGGATGGAAAATAATTCATCACCCACAAGGACGCGGAGACGCTTTTTTAATTCGATCAAGACTGAAAAGTGAGAACAAGGCATAAGACCCCCTCCTTCTCAAATATGGCAAATATACTCCATTTTTGTCCTGATCTAGCTCTCATAAATATAGAGGATAGCACCGAAGATTCACGTACTAACTGGAGCCGTACAGGGAGCCGGTAGTTTTATCCGGAATCTTTAATGAAGGATCGTATATAGGAATTCAACTTGAGGTCGGGTACGTGTTTGGGGTCTGATCTGCTATCGAGACCCGGGGTCTGATCTGCTATCGAGGCCCGGGGTCTGATCTGCTATCAAGACCCGGAGTCTGATCTGCTATCAAGACCCGGGGTCTGATCTACTATCGAGGCCCGGGGTCTGATCTGCTATCGAGGCCCGGGGCCTCCTCGAAAGTATATGCATTCATCGTGACTGGCGGTAATGGAATGTAACTAGATTCAGAAAGATAATTTACAGTGACAAGTTTTTACGTTCTCTTAAATAATATTTTTTTTTTTTTTGGTCAATTGCTGACGCATTTCATTAAGTTGTCTCAAAGACATTTTCCTTTTTTAAAAAAAAAATCTACTTTCAAAAGAGCTGTTACCTTGAAAGCTTCTCAAGTAAATCATTACAGATCAACTAAATCACAACTCATCTATTTTGTATCTTCATTTTTTGTGTTTTGCTTTATTAAATTTTATTTTTTCTTCTCATTGCTAACTCTATAGAGAATCTAAATAGCTTTTCTTTAATCGTCAGTCATTGAGTTCTTTTATAAGTTTGAAGCCATATCGGAATCACCAACTGTCATTAGAGTAATCGTGTAAAAAGTTTTTGTTTTTTTTAACAAGCGTCAACTTCTCTCGTCACTGCAAGCGGCTGTCATCTCAGGGGACAATTTTCCGCTACTTTTAACAAAGTTCTAACACTTCAAATAAGCAGTGTTATGATTTTTTTTTGTAAAAGGAGACAGCATGTGGTACCTTTGGTCCGTCTCATCATTTGGTCATTACGTACAATATATTTTTTTAAATAGTAAAGTTATTATCAGGCAACAGGAAAGAGAGCGGAGACTTCAGGTAAATAAAATGTTATTAAAGAAAGACAAACAGAACAAAGGGACGGTAATCTGATAAATCATTATATATATATATATATATATATATATATATATATATATATATATATATATATATATATATATATCTTTTACATATTGTTTGTTCACCCTATACAAGGCCCAAGAACCACTCAAGGTAGAGATTTATCAACTGAGTTCTATATTTCTGAGATGAGGTATTATGTACACTATTTACATTATTCGGATTATTGTCCTCATCTTTGACGCCATATTTATTACAACGTTTGCCTTTCATTATCTGTCTATATTTCTGAGATGAATTATGTACACTAACATTATTCGGATTATTGTCCTCATCTTTGACGCCATTTTATTACAACGTTTCGGCCTTTCATTATCTGTCTATATTTCTGAGATCGTACACTATTTACATTATTCGGATTATTGTCCTCATCTTTGACGCCATATTTATTACAACGTTTCGGCCTTTCATTATCTGTCTATATTTCTGAGATGAGGTATTATGTACACTATTTACATTATTCGGATTATTGTCCTCATCTTTGACGCCATATTTATTACAACGTTTCGGCCTTTCATTATCTGTCTATATTTCTGAGATGAGGTATTATGCTATTTACATTATTCGGATTATTTTTTTTGACGCCATATTTAAAAGGCCTTTCATTATCTGTCTATATGAGATGAGGTATTATGTACACTATTTACATTATTCGGATTATTGTCCTCATCATTTGGTCATATTTATTACAACGTACAATGAGATATTATTTTTTACATTAATTATTGTCCTCATCTTTGACGCCATATTTATTACAAGGCAACTGTCTATATTTCTGAGATGAGGACAATATTTACATTATTCGGATTATTGTCCTCATCTTTGACGCCATATTTATTACAACGTTTCGGCCTTTCATTATCTGTTATATTTCTGAGATGAGGTATTATGTACACTATTTACATTATTCGGAATTGTCCTCATCTTTGGCGCCATATTTATTACAACGTTTCGGCCTTTCATTATATGTCTATATTTCTGAGATGATTATTATGTACACTATTTACATTATTCGGATTATTGTCCTCATCTTTTGTCGCCATATTTATTACAACGTTTCGGCCTTTCAGTATCTGTCTATATTTCTGAGATGAGGTATTATGTACATATTTACATTATTCGGATATTGTCCTCATCTTTGGCGCCATATTTATTACAACGTTTCGGCCTTTCATTATCTGGTCTATATTTCTGAGATGAGGTATTATGTACACTATTTACATTATTATATTGTCCTCATCTTTATATTTATTATCTGTCTATATAGATGAGGTATTATGTACACTATTTACATTTCGGACTATTGTCCTCAATATTTATTACAAATTATCTGTCTATATTTCTGAGATGAGGTATTATGTATACTATTTACATTATTCGGATTATTGTCCTCATCTTTGACGCCATATTTATTACAACGTTTCGGCCTTTCATTATCTGTCTATATTTTTGAGATGAGGTATTATGTACACTATTTACATTATTCGGATTATTGTCCTCATCTTTGGCGCCATATTTATTACAACGTTTCGGCCTTTTTATCTGTCTATATTTCTGAGATGAGGTATTATGTACACTATTTACATTATTCGGACTATTGTCCTCATCTTTGACGCCATATTTATTACAACGTTTCGGCCTTTCATTATCTGTCTATATTTCTGAGATGAAATTATTATGTACACTATTTACATTATTCTATTGTACAACGTTTCGGCCTTTCATTATCTGTCTAGATGAGTATTATGTACACTATTTACATTATTCAGACTATTGTCCTCATCTTTGACGCCATATTTATTACAACGTTTCGGCCTTTCCTTATCTGTCTATATTTCTGAGATGAGGTATTATGTACACTATTTACATTATTCGGACTATTGTCCTCATCTTTGACGCCATATTTATTACAACGTTTCGGCCTTTCTTTATCTGTCTATATTTCTGAGATGAGGTATTATGTACACTATTTACATTATTCGCACTATTGTCCTCATCTTTGACGCCATTTATTACAACGTTTCGGCCTTTCATTTCTGTCTATATTTCTGTGATGAGGTATTATGTACACTATTTACATTATTCAGACTATTGTCCTCATCTTTGACGCCATATTTAGACAACGTTTCGGCCTTTCCTTATCTGTCTATAAGATGAGGAATGTACACTATTTACATTATTCGGACTGAGGACACATGACAGAAATTACTGTAAATGAAAGAGAATGAGAAGACTTTTGTGAGGAAAAAGATCAATAAAAGAACAGCGATAGATATGAGTGCAACCCCGTAGATTAATTAATGTGTTCAGTTCAGAATACCCTGTAGTTTGCCCGGATCGATATATACTTGATGAAGGCCGAATGTCACAACGGCCGAAACGTTGTGATAACATCAGCAAAGATGGGGACAATAATGTAACTAATGGGAATAAATGAACAGAATTTAAGAAGTTAGAAGATTAGCGATTGTATTCATATGTAAACATATTTTCTGTAGCTGCACTGCTAAGCAATTCTTTTTCTATTTTACTGTTATGGAGCTATCTTTCATTCCAATTCTGTGCAATAAAATGCCATACTAAAAGTAAAGTTCCAAAATTAGATATATTTGAGAATTATTGTGCACACACTAGTCTAGGTAAATCAAGGGTTCAATTTGAAACCCCCTGAAGATTATCTGTTTTGACAAACACCTGAGGAAGGTCAGATGACACAACGGCCGAAACTTTGTGGTAATAAATGCACATTAAGTATATTAGTCCTATTGTGGATAACAGGTTTTATTTTATTTATTCATAAATCAATCAAAGTAAGACAAAGCAAGATTTCTATTAAAGGCTTAAAAATTACTAATATGCAACAATGGCGATTTTTAAAATGTCGTTTCTTTAACAAGCACACAATTTTAAAAACTGAGCTGTATTGAATAAGAACTAAAAGAGATATCATTAGACATGGACACGGGAAAGAGTACAATCGAGCCCCATAGATTAAATAAAGATTTCAGTTAAGAATTCGCTGTAGTTTGTCTGGATTGATATGCACCTGATGAAGGCCGAAGATGACAACGGCCGAAACGTTGTGATAACACCCGCAAAGATGAGGGCAATAGTTCGAATATAAACAGTTTAAATAAATGAGCTGGATTCTGTCGAACAATCACGTGGTCAAGATAAACACTCAGTTGTGGAGCAAGCTGAGTGAATACTAATTCAACATTGAGAAAGAGAGCATTTATGGTGCAATGGAGCATCTCATTATGCTAAAGTGGGATAGTCCATTGCTTGGGCTGTGATTGGCTGCTGGTACCTGAGTGGAAGTATTTCTATATAAATACCAGCTTGATTTCTCAGTTAGTTTGCAGGGTTTGTATTAAGTTACAACCTGCTTTATTTTTGTCTGCCAGCTGGACGTTAGCTGGGACTCTTACGCCGGTAAGTGTTGTTTACTGTATTGTTATTCTACAGATTCAACGAGATAGAAGTTTGGCGATTGCATTCATAATTAAAAATGTTTTCTGCAGCTGCACTGTTAAGATAAAGATTTAAGCATTTTTTTTTTATCATTTGACTGTTGACTTTAATTCCAATTCAGTTCCTGGGTC